GGCCCATTGTAATCTAATTAAGTTTATAATGGTGATTATAAAACAAAGGACGTGACTGAAGTTTTGTGGTAGCACAATTTTACGGCGTGAAAATAAACCCTAATAGCAATAAGACAAAGGAGTTTGTCAAGGTTCTGAGATTTGATCTCGACGGCACTAGCATCCCGTTCTGATCCAATTTGCGTGCGTGTGGATACCGATAGAGGCACGACGTTTGGAGTGTTTGAAATCTCGATTTGGTTTATTCATCCTTCCGCTGCGAATAACCAGGTATATCTAAAATCCTAAGATCTAGATTTATTTCAGTATTTGCATGAGATCTAGGCAAATAGAATTCATAGGTTTTTTTATAAATCGTTATAAACCGGTATGAATTCCTACAGATACAACGTGGAGTAGAGTAATGCGAATCTCACAACAACATGACTCAGAAAAAGGAGGACCTCATAAGAGAGTAACCAGCGTCTAGAAGAAAAAGAAAGAGGTGGAAGAAATAAAAATAAGTGGCGTCCGATGATTTTCTTCAATTTCGTGTGTGTTTTCTTTTCGATTTTTAGTTGATTCAATTGTATAAAGAAAACTCTTGTATAAAATCCCTTTTGGTTTACTGAATAAAAGAAGAAATTAAATAAATAACTTGCTGACAAAAGAATAAAAATAATAATAATAACTTGCGCCGTTCAAATTGGATCCAATAAAGGTGTATTCGATTTCTCTCTATTGTTTGTTTATGTGTATTTCTTAGTGGAAGTTTTCTGGGACATGGATGACTGTCCCATCCCTAAGGGTGTCGATCCTGCTTTTGTTTTTAAGAACATCAAAGCGACTCTTAAAAGCATGGATATCATGGTGAAGTTAGCGTCGGGCTTATTGTGATAATTCTAGTAGTGAACTGTTAATTACTATGATGCTGCCGAAATCTTCTTACAAAACAGAGGTGAATTAGTATACTCTCTTTTTTCATTGTTATTAGTTTAGTTTATATGTATCTAATTTAATCTATGTTGATGTATATGTAGTGTGCAGAGCTAGATTTACAGAAGTTGATAATATGTTTCTTACATGGGGACTAAACAATCCAGCACTATCAAACTTGATTGTAATCTCGAAAAACATATCAGAAGGAACCGAGTTGTTTGGTGTTCTTGTTTCATTTATGTATCTAAAGATCTTTTGTAATTCTATGTATTTGTGAAACCTTGCAGATATTAGAACAGGCATCTTTTGGAACATAATGGAATTCATCTTAATATTTTCGTTGCATGCTGAAGACGCTGCATCACCAGTGCTACCTCCTGCATGCTTGGAATGGCATTTGGATACATTATTAGCTGGAGGGAAACCTATCAACCGTACCAACCACTCACTTGATGAAGTCAATGTGATTCAGAATGATCTCTCTTGTTGGAGGAAGGAGAACCAGCGGCATGGTAAACTAGTCAATTTAGTTAATATATATAGTTTTTTATTAATATAATAAATTGATTTACTTTTTGTGAAACCTTGTAGAGAATCATACTGGAATCTTCTGGAACATCGAGGGACTGCCTAATACCCGGTGGTCTGGATCCTCATAGGTATTTTCTTAGAGCCCTTGGTACTGAAGACGTGTTAATCAAGGCTTATTGTGGCGAGAATAGGAGGCGTGGTGATTTCTCCACCGATGATAACTTACCCATCACCTTGGTACCCACAGGTGAATACTCCTTCACTTCTTTAGCACTGTTTTCCCTTTATCTGAAGATAGATCTGTTTATTATATATATGGTTTCAGATGATAAAGATGAAAGGTATAAGAAATTGTTTAAGGACACTTGGGCACTGGACAAACCCTGAAAAACATCAAGATCAACCGTGGTGGTGATCACAGAAAGCTTCCCGGACAACATGTATGTTGCTATGAGCTCAAGAAATTACAAGCTTATCTTAGTAGATCCTCATCGAGTTAATTGTGTGAACTCTGTGTGGCTTTTGAGAAGTTTATTTGGTGGAGGCAACCCTATCGACCTAAGGGGAAGAAAGAACCTACCAACGCAGTGAGGATTAAGTGGAAGATTACAAGCTGATGCAGGGTTGTTATGCTTTTATCAATCTGACTACTTTGTTTTCATGTCAAAAGAGGTTGAGTTTTGTGTATGAAGACATTTGACGTGTCTATCTCTCTTAAACTCTGTTTTGGATTCAATATGATTTGTTATTTCTATCTATTTTCTTCAATGAAGGCTTTATGCTCTGTCCTAATGCATTCTTCAACTTCTCGAAGGATATCTATTTATTAATACACATATGGCTCTTTTCACATTGGTGAATAACTGAAATTCTTTATGTTATGCTTTGCATGCTCGTTATGGTCGATGACAATGAGAATTTGATGTTATGAATATCTTCTTACTAAATGATGTCTTCTCTTCAATATCTTACGTTTGGTTTCTATATATATACACTAGGTGTTTGCTTGCAACTTTGTGGATAGTAATATTATTCAAAATTATATGTTATGTTTACAATGTTATTATTTTTGAATAATAACTAAACATATTAAAATTTTGGCTTATTTTAATTTCAAATAGTTTGATAATCAAAAACTTCAATATATATTTTTAGCTCATGACCACATAATATTAAGCTTGCATTAGTAGAAAGGGGAAGGAGTTCAACTTAAAATCCATGAGCCCCTCCTTAATCAAACTTCAACAAAATGTTTATTGGCAACAAAATAACTTTTGATTTGTCTCAAATTCTGTTTTCTTTTTCATATCTTGTTCAGAAGAATCCGAATTTCTTAATTAAGACCAACTTTACACCTTTTTAGTGTCCAAATTTCCATATATCATATATATGGTTGAATTAGTTAAGTCCAAACTTAAGATTTCTGATGTCTATATTTAGTTAAACTGAAGCTTGTAGAAAGTCGATCGGGAGTACATCCAACATATTGTTTTGAGAAAACATTTTTTTCAGTTACATTTCTTAGGTCTTACATCAACACATAAACGTAAGATAATAAGAAGCCTTGCAAATATGGATTGAAACTTGAAAGCACCATTACAATCTTTAGTACTTAAACTTGTGGTGGTTTAGTCTCGGCTTCAACGAGTTTCGGTTCAACATCAACCTTGGCATCAAGTACCTCATCATCAACCTTAGCCTCAGTCTTAGTCTCTGTTTCTGCGAGTTTCGGTTCAACATCAGCCTTAGCCTCGACTTTAGCATCAACCTTAGCATCCAGTACCTCAGCATCAACCTTACCCTCAGTCTTATTCTCAGCTTCAGGTTTTGTCTCAGTCTCGGCCTTAGGCTCAACCTCGGCTTTAGGCGCCTCAGCCTCCACGGGCCAGTAAGAAGTCTTCTTTCCAGTCTTTGAAACTGTTTGAAAAACTGCCTCAGGCTCAACTTTACCTTTCACTGTCACCTTTTGTTCCTTTATGTCAATGTCGAATGACTCAACCCCTAAAATTGTTTTATAGCTTGTAAAAGGCTTAGTACATGAAATATATATATATATATATATGTGTGTTTGTGTGTGTGTGTATAAATATAAGATGGATTCATATATAAAATACACATGAAATATAAATTTCGAGAAAATACCTTCCATTTTGCCTAGGACTCTATTGACGGCACCAACGCAACCTTGGCATGACATACCAACTTTGAGGACAACGGTCTGCATGTATTGGTAATACATAAATGGCTTTTCATTAATTAACAATTAAAATCTACGTTTTAAGCTTCACAAATAAACTCCAACATCTTCAAGACCCTTAACTGACACAGTGACACTCAAACGTTTGAAATAGAGATAGTGCCTAGACAAATTATTCTATTTCATGATTTAATATCAATTAGTTTCAAAATATTAATCGTCCATATGTATCGGTTGAATCGGCAGTTTACTAAATAATCGATGAACGTTAATCCTAATGATATGGTAGCATCTTTTGGCAACGAACATGAAAAGACATATATTGCTTGAAGTCATCGTTGTGTGGTCAATAAGCAGACGTAAAAACAAAAAAGAAAACAGAGATGAAACGAAAAACTACCTGAGACATGGCTACAAGTAGTTAAACGAACCGAAAAGCTTTGAGATTGGTGATCCGAATTAGATAGAAATGAGATGTTTGTTTGTAGAATGAAATGTAAGATGGTGCGTTCTTGATTATTTATAGCAACGCAAGAAAGCAAATATTGGGATGAGGAAGATGAGGAGATGAAGTTTGCGTAAAGCAAACGAGAGCAATAAAAGTTAGTGCATTACCGATACTAATTCCAATAGAATGAAGAAAAAACTTTAAGAAGGTTACTAACACCTAACGTGGAAAAAAGACTACCAGCTTTTAATTCCATTAACCGAAAGTATATAAGGACAAAGGAATGAAGCATTCATTGTGTGGTCTTGGTGTATCACACTTGCCTATTTGTAGTACCTTGTGTTCTTTTTCATATTCTATCAAGGTTTTTTCTCATATTCTACTTCTTAACTTAGTGTACCTAACTCCTATAATATTTTCTATTTTCTATTGGGTCATTCTAAATTTGCCTATATATTTAATGTAAAAAGAATATTTGGTCAAAATCAATTTTATAGCATTTTTTTCCTTTTTAAGGTTTCTAAAGAATATCATGTCGAATTAAAACATAGAATATATTATATTTAATCTATTAAAACAGCCTAGCTATATATTGTTTACCTAGTGTAAACCGACTAACTTACATACCTTTTTATTATACATAAGTTTTGAATGGTAACGGCTGATGGAATGGATTTAATCGTTTCGTTTTGTAACTGTTATATTAGCTAGAATAGACATAAAGTCACGTAACAAATTATCTTTCAGGAACTCTTTTGCAATACTTTAACGATGCGTTCTTTTAAAATATTTTATCGATATAAGAGATTTTTAATGAAATTGTTTAAACAATTAATAAATCTGTGATCATCTAGAATAATCATCGGTATAGTAGTGAATTAGGTCAAAGGGTGGCTCTAATACCATATTAAGTTGGATGGACTTCCAACTTAAAACCAATTAGATTTTGACCCGCGCAACCGCGTGGGTGTTTGTTTTCGTTTATAGTTATATAAACATTTTGTTTCTAGTTATATAAACATTTTGTTTTCACTTGTAAATTGGTATATATTATAGTAG